AGGAAGAGAGGCAGAATTGCCAGCATTTGGGATGTTGATTCATTATGGGTGGAAACACCGGAGGGGACTCAGCGTCCTCACGGAAGAAATGGAAGAATATGGTTCACCTGGCCGAGGTGCAGGGGCCATCGCTGCCCAAGCGGAAGAAGAAGGAGCCCTTGATCTTCACGGATGAAGATTACCCGCTGGTCCTTAGTCCCCATTGGGATGCACTGGTAGTAAAGATAAAGATCAACAACGTGGTCGTCCATCGCACGTTGGTCGATACTGGTAGCTCGGTCAATAATATGTACAACAATACCTTCAAAGAGCTGGGCTTATCTCGGGGAGACCTTAAGCCAATCTGCACCCCACTGTCAGGATTCACGGGGGATACTATTAAAGCAGAGGGAACCATTACAGTGAAGGCTGGGGTAGGAGATGGAACCCACTGACTCTGGCTCAACATGGAATTTATGGTAGTGCAGCTTGAGTGTGCACACCATTTAATCCTAGGGTGACCGGGTCTGGAAGACTTGGAGTGCATAATCTCCCCCGTCCACTTGTGTATGAAGTTCGCCACACCTACCGCGGTAGGGGTGGCAAGAGGGAATCAGAGTCTATCCCGATCGTGCTATGCTAGGGCGACCAAGAACCAGGAACGGGTCGGCGAAAATGTCAGCATGATCTGTGCCACGATATAGAAGGAAGAAGGGCGACCCACAGCGGAGCCGGCAGAGGAAGTGGAGGAAGTTTCCCTGGATCCGGCAAAGCCGGAGCAAAAGGTGAAGGTAGGTAGAGCCCTGCCGCTCAAGCTGAAGGAGCAGTTGGTGGGTGTGTTGTATTTAGGTGCCCTAGCGGCAATCAAATACCTATGTAACTGTACACTTTATCATCAATGAAAGGCCTTGAAGTATGTTTTATATCTCGTGTAACATAACATAGCTTCAGTCCATAGACGATAGCGCTTCAGTAACATAGATGAGGACTACGATGTTCTGATTATGAGACTGTTACTTCTTGACGAAGGCTATGTCTAGAATATCCCTAGTCGCACTTTATGATAATACGGACGTCATAACGTATCAAGACTAGTACGTACGAGATGAGATAGTTGCGTCTCATAGACTATAGGTATTGTGATATCTTAATCTGTACGTAGGTGCATATTATANCAGTCCATAGACGATAGCGCTTCAGTAACATAGATGAGGACTACGATGTTCTGATTATGAGACTGTTACTTCTTGACGAAGGCTATGTCTAGAATATCCCTAGTCGCACTTTATGATAATACGGACGTCATAACGTATCAAGACTAGTACGTACGAGATGAGATAGTTGCGTCTCATAGACTATAGGTATTGTGATATCTTAATCTGTACGTAGGTGCATATTATATCGATAATATGTGACTGGATTGACCCATCTTGAGAATACTGCATGGATCTATAGTAATGTGTTTATCAGTATTCTCAAATCGACCTTGCTATAACTATCCTCAGACTTGAAGTTATTACATTCTCTGATATGTGGGGCCGTATGCTTTGATTCATAACTAATGCTATCTGAAATACTGGTAGACATACAGTTATGCGTTGGGTATGCTGCTAGGCATATTTAGAGATGTGAATAACAGATACAGGATCTGTCCCTTCTACTGTACAGAAGTATAATGTCAATGGGCCCACTGAATTGTAGGACTTGGGAAAGTGCATGGCCATGCTCAGATATGTCGCTATCTAGGGACTGATAAATATCTGATCCCTGCCAATCTACTTGAGATTCAGTAAGAGCTGATTTAACTATACAAGGATACACATCCCATGTCTTGTGTTAAATCATGACATTTAGGACAGAAGGATAATAGTTATAGAATGTCTTGTGTCGTAGATGGTATTGATGAGATAAACGTCTTTTTCAAAATCTGGGGGTAATAATGTGTTGCTAGATACCGCTTATTATCTATGATATTAATTTTATTAATATCATTGCCAGTGTTATGGATACCTAAAGGGTCACACACTTAGGACTTGTAAGGGAGTAGTATACTACACTAGTGATAGGTAGGGTTTGAAAAAGTAAGGGGTAAAAGTTGTTTTTTAATGGAAATGGGTAAGGGATTGTGGGACGCAATTTTTTTGAAACGTGTAAATCTTTTTGGGACGGAGGGAGTATTTATTACTCCCAAAGTAGTATTATTATAGTTTTTACTATCCTATATTAAACTTGCTAGCACAAGTTTAATCTTGGACTCCGGAGCAAGTTCGTGTGGATACGTTGGAGGCTTTATATGTTTGGCGCTACGTTCATCTCCTCAAAACCATCCCCGACCGTTCCTCCGTTCTCCGTTTTTCACCGCTAAGGTAAATTTCTTACTATAGCTAGTAATTTACGTAAGTTGTTCTTGGGTGGAATCGAGTTTTGGACTATAAATTTTGTTTTCCGCTGCGTTATCCAAGCCTCGTTTCCCAACAGTGGTATCGGAGCCGGCTTACGAAGTTACTAGTTTAGTAGTTTTACCGTTATTGTTTTTGTAGATTAGTCAATAAATTTTGGAGACAGAAATTTATCCCATTAAAATTTAATTAGGTGGCCATATTAAGATACTGGACCTAATATAATTTTTGTTCAGTAATTTTCGGAATTACTGTTTGGGGTATTCTTATATTATTCTTATTAAGTAGTTTATGTGTAGAACACTTGTTATTTGTGCCATAAATACTTAATATTTATGAAGATTAGATTTTATATTTTCTGGGAAGTATTTGACATGTCAATATAACTCAGAAATTTTAAAATCTATTTTTGGAATTAATTTCCTATTTTTCTATTTTTAAATTCGTTAATTGAATAGAAAATAGGAAAACTTATTTTTTACGATTAAAAATTAATTTTAATTCATAATAAGTTGTGACCAGAGATTTTAAGCTTGTATAAAAATTTTCATAATTTTTAAACACGTAAAAATATTTATTTTGTATATTTGAAGTAATTGGATCGGTACTATTCACTAGTCCGATTTTTAATTATTTTAAATTGCAAAATTAATATTTTAAATTCTAGAAAAATAATATTCTGGTTCTGGAACTTATTTTTGACTTGAAAGATAAATTTTGATATTTTTGGAATTTCGAAATATATTTTCACAATATAATTTTGGTTTTCTAGCTTTGAAAAATGGTTTTCAAAATTTTAAATTTTATTCATTCTGGAATTTTAGGATTTACAGATTAATAAAGTTTACTGGGAGTCTCCAATAATTATTTGCTAATTTAGAAAACATATATATATTTAATTCGAAATAAAAGCCCTTTTTCGAATATATATATATATATATATATATATATATATATATATATATATATATATATATATATATATATATTCATATTGCTAGTTTAATTAATTTATTGTTGATAGTTTATTCCGTAGAATAGAATAAACTAGGT